GCTAACTCCTCCGAAGGCTTTCGTTCCACCGGCACCACATTTGCTCAGGCCAATCTACACCCCATGGCCATTAAAAGTTATTCAAATCATGACGCTGCACCCCACGGTTTAGGTTCTAGGGGGCGCCAAAAATAACCCTAAAATCCACATATTTAAAAGTCTTATAACTTTTTATTTTTGTCCTCACTGGCCTCCAAGTTTTCTAGGATGATGCAATGTCCAGCCATCAACACATCTGTGAAGGAATTTTTACTCCCCAAAAGAGCGCCCCCCCCATGGCAGGAGAAAAAAGTCCATTTTTTCTTGTCCCCTAAGGTGAAAATACACATTGTTGAGTGTCACGCCTATACGCTTTGTCAAAATGACACAAAAATTGACACACACATGTAACTCAATAAGATCTACAAAAAAGTCCATGCGCGCGTATCTGTCAAATGTACAGTTAAAGGGTTATTCCGCATTTTTTGCGGATACGCACACATTGGAATTTCGCTAACTCCTCCGAAGGCTTTCGTTCCACCGGCACCACATTTGCTCAGGCCAATCTACACCCCATGGCCATTAAAAGTTATTCAAATCATGATGCTGCACCCCATGGTTTAGGTTCTAGGGGGCGCCAAAAATAACCCAAAAATCCACATTCTTAAATGTTTTATAACTTTTTATTTTTGTCCGCACTGGCCTCCAAGTTTTCTAGGATGATGCAATGTCCAGCCATCAACACATTTGTGAAGGAATTTTTACTCCCCAAAAGAGCGCCCCCCATGGTAGGAGAAAAAAGTCAATTTTTTCTTGTCCCCTTACATGAAAATACACATTGTTGAGTGTCACGCCTGAACGCTTTGTCATATTGACACAAAAATTGACAATCATGTGTATCTCAATTAGATCTACGAAAAAGTCAAAGAGCGCGTATCTTTATAATGTACGGTTAAAGGGCTATTTTGCATTTTTTGCCGATTCGCACACATTGGAATGTGGCTATCTCCTCCTAAGGCTTTCGTCCCACCGATACCAAATTTGCTCAGGGCAATCTACACCCCATGCCCATTCAAAGTTGTAAAAATCATGACGCTGCACCCCACGGTTTACGTTCTAGGGGGCGCCAAAGATGACCCAAAAATCCACATTCTTAAAAGTCATTTTGGCCACTGCAGGAGTACAGAGTACTGCAGTTCTAGGGGGCGCCAAAGATGACCCAAAAATCCACATTCTTAAAAGTCTTTTTGGCCACTGCAGGAGTACAGAGTACTGCAGGATACACACACATATACACACACGCCAACATACACACACACACACACACAGACACACACACACACTCAGAGTCTGTTTTTTAGCACCTGCAAAAACATGCTGTTTACATATTTGACAAGAATGCAGAGGCTTCCTTTTGCCCCTGAAAAAAATCAAATTTCAAACACAACTTGACTGGTCATTTCTCCAAAAGACAACCATGAAGCTCCATTTCAAACCTGAAGCAGATAGTTGGTGCATGTGTACAGTAACCTGAGGGGAGTGAGGTGACTATTTCTGAGGAGAACATGAGCAGTGAAGATTCACCTTGGAGCTAGAACAGGGACGTGCACATGATTATACAGGGGCAGGGGCTCAAGTTTTTTCCAGTCATTTATACAATATGGAAATTAATGTGAAATTAAACCACAAATATGTGTGATGAACTGTTTTTAAAACTTAAACTTCAAATAAAAATTGTAAACTTCAAAACATATGCAAATTTTTAACAAAGAACATAGTGATTTACCTCTATTTACATCAAAATGCAGGCAATGGCCCAGGCGTTCTTTGTAAAATTATTTACAAAACACTGTATAGTCTCACAAATGTCACTTTTTATTTATGCCACTACAAAAAAACATGATGTAAATGATGCATGATGTAAAACATGATGTAAAAAACTTGTGTTGATCCTCCTCTATGTCAGTCCATGTGTAATTTTTCCATAATTCTTTGTTTTTTGCAGCATTTTTGTTAGTGTAACTGCAGATTGTGCTGACAGTGTCTATGGCACAAAAAAAAAAAAAATTAAAATGCCTCAACATGAACCCCTGGTGGTCTCTGAGGGTGAAACCTGCTAACTGCTGCAGCTCTGTCAGCTTCAGTCTCCCATGCAGAGCTCTGAGCGCATGTGTGGCTCTGCACCCTTAGCAGCGTTGCTAACTCCTCAGTAAGGAAAGCCTGCTTCATGTCAGAGTCTCTAAACTCCAGAAGAAGTCGATAAAAGTCCCTTTCTTTCTAAAAAAAAGTCGTTAGGGGGTCTGAAAAGTCATTGAATCTAACAACAAAGTCGCTAGGTTTGCAACTACGTGTCCCAGACTGCATCCCTGCTGAGAGTCCCTCCCTCTCTTCTCATGTTGCAGGAAGAACGTAAGCGCCCGCCCCTTGTCAGTCAGTCACCATATAATTTTGGATTGGTTGTTGTGGTGAAGTTTTCCACCAATAGGAGAGATGTTGTGGTGTGTTTTTTTTCTTTTGGCAAGCCTTTTCCGCCTGTAAGACCTGTCGCTAATGTCTGCATGCTATGTTTTCCTGTCTCATACAGCGCGATCGAGCGCCGAACGTGATCAAAATAAGAAGAAAAAAAGTATCGCGGACATAATTTATCATAACTCTGGTTTTATTTGGCCTATCAACACAATTTAAAAACTGGTATATAGGTTGAGGTCCTCACTTTTGAGATAAGTTGAAACGGAGAGTCAACGAGGCTCCGTCTTGCAGCTACATCCGGTTAAATATGTCATGTGACTTGAACGCACACACAGACACACACACACACACACACACACACACACACACACACACACACACACACACACACACACACACACACACACACTCAGAGTCTGGTTTTTAGCACCTGCAAAAACATGCTATTAACATATTTGACAAGAATGCAGAGGCTCCTTTTGCCCTGAAAAAAATCAAATTTCAAACACAACTTGACTGGTCATTTCTCCAAAAGACAACCATGAAGCTCCATCCAAACCTGAAGCAGGCAGTTGGTGCATGTGTACAGTAACCTGAGGGGAGTGAGGTGAGTGCTTCTGAGGAGAACATGAGCAGTGAAGATTCACCTTGGAGCTAGAACAGAGACATGCACATGATTATACAGGGGCAGGGGCTCAAGTTTTTTCCAGTCGTTTATACAATATGGAAATTAATGTGAAATTAAAACACAAAGTATTAATAGAAAGGTAATGACTGTCCTGTGTAGGTGACAGTGATATCCAATAGGCTAGGCACTCACGAGGCTGGCTGTGGCAAGTGTAAGTGAAAGCAACACGCACTGGCAGGAAGAACAGCAAACGCCGATGAAGGAAAAGGGTCTTTGCAGTGATGGGCGTTACCAGAGAGGGCGATGGCCAGAGGACACAAATGGGACGGGGAGGCAGCACGTTGGGGGGGGGGACGCGACACGGCTCGGGCCCGCCAGTGCCCCAACGGGGTCCTAGTTATTATTTTTCTGCCCCTTTGAACTGGAAAATGGCCCACTTCCCACTGGTGAAAAGTCATGAAATTTGGCAGGACGACCGGGCCTGGTGAAAAATTCGATATTCTGAAGTCGCCCAAAAAATCAAATGCAAAATGGCTCCATAGCGCCCCCTAAACTGAAAGATTCACATGATTGAGTGTCACGCCTGTACGCTTTGTCAAAATGACACAAAATTTGACACACACGTGTATCTCAATAAGATCTACAAAAAAGTCAGTGCGGGCGTATCTGTCATATGTACGGTTAAAGGGCTATTTCGCATTTTTTGCCGATCCGCACACATTGGAATTTCGCTAACTCCTCCGAAGGCTTTCGTTCCACCGGCACCAAATTTGCTCAGGCCAATCTACACCCCATGGCCATTAAAAGTTGTACAAATCATGACGCTGCATCCCACGGTTTACGTTCTAGGGGGCGCCAAAGATAACCCAGAAATCCACATTCTTAAAAGTCGTATAACTTTTTATTTTTGTCCTCACTGGCCTCCAAGTTTTCTAGGATGATGCAATGTCTAGCCATCAACACATTTGTGAAGGAATTTTTACTCCCCAAAAGAGCGCCCCCCCATGGCAGGAGAAAAAAGTCCAGTTTTTCTTCCCCCCTAAGGTGAAAATTCACATTATTGAGTGTCACGCCTGTACGCTTTGTCATATTGAAACAAACTTTGACAATCACGTGTTTCTCAATAAGATCTACGAAATAGTCAATGGGCGCGTATCTGTAAAATGTACGGTTAAAGGGCTATTTCGCATTTTTGGTCGATTCGCACACATTGGAATGTGGCTAACTCCTCCTAAATCTTTCGTTCCACTGACACCAAATTTACTCAGGCCAATCTACACCCCATGGCCATTCAAAGTTGTAAAAATCATGACGCTGCACCCCACGGTTTATGTTCTAGGGGGCGCCAAAGATAACCCAAAAATCCACATTCTTAAAAGTCTTATAACTTTTTATTTTTGTCCTCACTGGCCTCCAAGTTTTCTAGGATGATGCAATGTCTAGCCATCAACACATTTGTGAAGGAATTCTTACTCCCTAAAAGAGCGCCCCCCCCCCATGGCAGGAGAAAAAGTCAAGTTTTTCCTGCCCATCGCTCAATGACTCAAACACATCGCTCTCTCGGCAAAACCGAAAGGAGGAGCAACTTGCCATTTGGATATATCCTAGCTGTGTTTGTGCCCTCACTCATGGTCCAGTCCTTTTCAAATAGGACATGTAGTTTGTCTGCGGCGAGCGTTTTGGTAGAAACTGCGCCTCCCATTCATTATAATTGTAAATGACCACAGACAAGTGCGCACACCATCTTTGGACCTTGAGTGTGACGCGATCGGTAGGGAGAGGTGGTCGTGTTGGGGGCGGCGCGACACGGCTCGGGCCCGCCAGTGCCCCAACGGGGCCCTAGTTCTTTCTTTCTTTCTTCTTTTTCCTCCCCTTTGAACTGGAAAATGGCCCACTTCCCACTGGCGAAAACTCATGAAATTTGGCAGGACGACCGGGCCTGGTGAAAAATTCGATATTCTGAAGTCGCCCAAACAATAAAATGCAAAATGGCTCCATAGCGCCCCCTAAGGTGTAAATTCACACTATTGACTGTCACGCCTGTACGCTTTGTCATATTGACACAAAAATTGACACACATATGTATCTCAATAAGATCTACAAAAAAGTCAGTGCGGCCGTATCTGTCAAAATTACGGTTAAAGGGTTATTTTGCATTTTTTGCCGATCCGCACACATTGGAATTTCGCTAACTCCTCCGAAGGCTTTGGTTCCACCGGCACCACATTTGCTCAGGCCAATCTACACCCCATGGTCATTAAAAGTTATTCAAATCATGACGCTGCACCCCACGGTTTAGGTTCTAGGGGGCGCCAAAGATAACCCAAAAATCCACATATTTAAAAGTCTTATAACTTTTTATTTTTCTCCTCACTGGCCTCCAAGTTTTCTAGGATGATGCAATGTCCAGCCAGCAACACATTTGTGAAGGAATTATGTTTCCCCAAAAGAGCGCCCCCCCATGGCAGGAGAAAAAAGTCCATTTTTTCTTGTCCCCTAAGGTGAAAATACACATTGTTGAGTGTCATGCCTATACGCTTTGTCAAAATGACACAAAAATTGACACACACATGTAACTCAATAAGATCTACAAAAAAGTCAATGCGCGCGTATCTGTCAAATGTACGGTTAAAGGGTTATTCCGCATTTTTTGCGCAGGACGACCGGGCCTGATGAAAAATTCGATATTCTGAAGTCGCCCAAACAATAAAATGCAAAATGGCTCCATAGCGCCCCCTAAGGTGGAAATTCACACTATTGACTGTCACGCCTGTACGCTTTGTCATATTGACACAAAAATTGACACACATATGTATCTCAATAAGATCTACAAAAAAGTCAGTGCGGGCGTATCTGTCAAAATTACGGTTAAAGGGTTATTTCGCATTTTTTGCCGATCCGCACACATTGGAATTTCGCTAACTCCTCCGAAGGCTTTCGTTCCACCGGCACCACATTTGCTCAGGCCAATCTACACCCCGTGGCCATTAAAAGTTATCAAAATCATGACGCTGCACCCCAAGGTTTAGGTTCTAGGGGGCGCCAAAGATAACACTAAAATCCACATATTTAAAAGTCTTATAACTTTTTATTTTTGTCCTCACTGGCCTCCAAGTTTTCTAGGATGATGCAATGTCCAGCCATCAACACATTTGTGAAGGAATTTTTACTCCCCAAAAGAGCGCCCCCCCATGGCAGGAGAAAAAAGTCCATTTTTTCTTGTCCCCTAAGGTGAAAATACACATTGTTGAGTGTCACGCCTATACGCTTTGTCAAAATGACACAAAAATTGACACACACATGTAACTCAATAAGATCTACGAAAAAGTCAATGCGCGCGTATCTGTCAAATGTACGGTTAAAGGGTTATTCCGCATTTTTTGCGCAGGACGACCGGGCCTGGTGAAAAATTCGATATTCTGAAGTCGCCCAAACAATAAAATGCAAAATGGCTCCATAGCGCCCCCTAAGGTGGAAATTCACACTATTGACTGTCACGCCTGTACGCTTTGTCATATTGACACAAAAATTGACACACATATGTATCTCAATAAGATCTACAAAAAAGTCAGTGCGGCCGTATCTGTCAAAATTACGGTTAAAGGGTTATTTCGCATTTTTTGCCGATCCGCACACATTGGAATGTGGCTAACTCCTCCGAAGGCTTTCGTTCCACCGGCACCACATTTGCTCAGGCCAATCTACACCCCATGGCCATTAAAAGTTATTCAAATCATGACGCTGCACCCCACGGTTTACGTTCTAGGGGGCGCCAAAGATAACCCTAAAATCCACATATTTAAAAGTCTTATAACTTTTTATTTTTTGTCCTCACTGGCCTCCAAGTTTTCTAGGATGATGCAATGTCCAGCCATCAACACATTTGTGAAGGAATTTTTACTCCCCAAAAGAGCGCCCCCCCATGGCAGGAGAAAAAAGTCCATTTTTTCTTGTCCCTTAAGGTGAAAATACATATTGTTGAGATTCACGCCTATACGCTTTGTCATATTGACACAAAATTTGACAATCACGTGTATCTCAATAAGATCTACGAAAAAGTCAATGCGCGCGTATCTGTCAAATGTACGGTTAAAGGGCTATTTCGCATTTTTTGCCAATTCGCACACATTGGAATGTGGCTAACTCCTCCTAAAGCTTGCGTCCCATCGGCACCAAATTTGCTCAGGCCAATCTACACCCCATGGCCATTAAAAGTTGTAAAAATCATGATGCTGCACCCCACGATTTACGTTCTAGGGGGCGCCAAAGATAACCCAAAAATCCACATTTTCAAAAGTCTTATACCTTTTTATTTTTGTCCTCACTGGCCTCCAAGTTTTCTAGGATAATGCAATGTTCAGCCATCAACACAATTGTGAAGGAATTTGTACTCCCCAAAAGAGCGCCCCCCCATGGCCGGAGAAAAAGTCAAGTTGTTCCTGCCCATCGCTCAATGGCTTAAACGCATCGCTCTCTCGGCAAAACCGAAAGGAGGAGCAACTTGCCATTTGGATATATCTTAGCTGTGTTTGTGCCCTCACTCATGTTCCAGACTTTTTTCAAATAGGACATGGAGTTTGTCTGCAGCGAGCGTTTTGGTAGAAACTGCGCCTCCCATTCATTATAATGGTAAATGACCACAGACAAGTGCGCACACCATCTTTGGACCTTGAGTGTGACGCGATCGGGAGGGGGAGGCGGTCGCGCTGGGGGCGGCGCGACGCGGCTCGGGCCCGACAGTGCCCCACCGGGGCCCTAGTTCTTCCGTTATTTTTCCTCTGTTTTAAATGGGAAAATGGCCCACTTCCCACTGGCGAAAACTCATGAAATTTGGCAGGAAGACCGGGCCTGATGAAAAATTCGATATTCTGAAGTCGCCCAAACAATAAAATGCAAAATGGCTCCATAGCGCCCCCTTAGGTGAAAATTCACCTTACGCCTGTACGCTTTTTCATATTGACACAAAATTTGACACACACGTGTATCTCAATAAGATCTACAAAAAAGTCAGTGCGGGCGTATCTGTCAAATGTACGGTTAAAGGGCTATTTCGCATTTATGGCCGATCCGCACACATTGGAATTTCGCTATCTCCTCCGAAGGCTTTTGTTCCACCGGCACCAAATTTGCTCAGATGACCCAAAAATCCACATTCTTAAAAGTAGTTATGGCCACTGAGGGGCGCCAAAGGGAGTTGTCTATTAAATCTGATGCTACAGAAAAAGTTAAAAGGCTCAAATTTTTGCTATATTAGTGACTTTATGTCTTAAATGTGCTCTTACAGGCTTAAAAAAATTATTTTCAATGAAACATTTGCTAGTTTTGAAGAGGGCAGAAGTAAAATAAGAGATGTACAAAAGAAAAATCTGGAAAAAAATGAATCCAATTTGATTTTACAGCTGACAAAGTAGTTTTGGCCACTGAGTGGCGCCAAAGGGAGTTGTCTATTAACAGCAGACAAAGTAGTTATGGCCACTGAGGGGCGCCAAAGGGAGTTGTCTATTAAATCTGATGCTACAGAAAAAGTTAAAAGGCATTAAAGTCAATCATATTACTTATCTGTAAGTACGCTTCATCATATTGACACAAGATTTGACACACACGTGTATCTCAATAAGATCTACGAAAAAGTCAGTGCGGGTGTATCTGTCAAATGTACGGTTAAAGGGCTAATTCGCATTTTTTGGCGATTCGCACACATTGGAATGTGGCTAACTCCTCCTAGAGCTTTCATTTAACCAGCACCAAATTTGCTTAGGCCAATCTACACCCCATGGCCATTCAAAGTTGTACAAATCATGATGCTGCACCCCACGGTTTAGGTTCTAGGGGGCGCCAAAGATTACCCAAATATCCATATTCTTAAAAGTCTTATAACTTTTTATTTTTGTCCTCACTGGCCTCCAAGTTTTCTAGGATGATGCAATGTCCAGCCATCAACACATTTGTGAAGGAATTTTTTCTCCCCAAAAGAGAGCCCCCCCATGGCAGGCGAAAAAGTCAAGTTTTTCCTGCCCATCGCTCAATGGCTCAAACGCATCGCTCTCTCGGCAAAACCGAAGGGAGGAGCAACTTGCCATTTGGATATATCCTAGCTGTGTTTCTGCCCTCACTCATGGTCCAGACTTTTTTCAAATAGGACATGGAGTTTGTCTGCAGCGAGCGTTTTGGTAGAAACTGCGCCTCCCATTCATTATAACGGTAAATGACCAAAGACAAGTGCACACACCATCTTTGGACCTTGAGTGTGACGCGATCAGGAGGGGGAGGCGGTCGCACTGGGGGCGGTGCGACATGGCTCGGGCCCGCCAGTGCCCCAACGGGGCCCTAGTTGTTGTTGTTTCTGTTGTTGTCGTCACTCTGTTTTGTTGTTAAATGAAAAAAAAATAAAAAAATAAAAAAATCTATTGAAGAACAGATTCAGCTTGTTGGCCCACTCCCTGTCTCCTGCTTCAGGTCCCCTCTCGTGGCCCCTGCTATGACCTGAGATGGATTTCAGGCCTCTCCAGACCTCCCTTGCGTCATTCTGTTGCAGAAGGTTTTCCATCTTGGTCTTGTAGCTGGCCTTCCCCTCTCTGATCTTCTTCTTCAGCTCCTTCTGCACCCTCCTCAGCTCCTCCTTGTCCCCGGATTTAAAGACCCTCCTCTTCTCCTTCAGGAGTACTTTAAGTTCCGGGGTTACCCAAGGTTTGCTTTTGGAGAAACACCGTACTTTCCTGGTGGGTACAGTGTTCTCAACACAGAAGTTTATATAGTCCGTGATACAATCTGTCATAGTGTCAATGTCATCACCATGTGGGCCGCACAGTACATCCCAGTCTGTGGTCTCAAAACAGTCCTGCAGCGCCTCAGTGGCCTCCTCAGACCACCTCTTAACATACCTGATGGTGGGGGGTTGTTTCATTTTGAGACTGGCTTCCCTACAATCATACAGCATCAAATGGGATTTATGACTATATGGTTAGTCAGTGCAGAAATATGTTTTATTATTGCGTGGTTTATTTTTATTCCAAAACAAATGCAGATATTCAAGAGCCAGTAAAAATGCCATGATTAGTCTGCTACCTGCTACCTTGACAGCAGAGAAAGTAACCAAAAACACATGGCCGGTGATGCTATTGAAAGAACAGCAGTGTTTATGGCACTGTGCCATGCCTGTTGATAGTTAACCCAAACACAACATGCCCACAAAATGCACAAGTGGGACAAGGCTTACTGGTAAACACTTTGATCGGCTTTCATTCACTCTTGCTTCTCATCTCTTTGGGCTTTTGGGGGAACGTGGTGTTTAATCTGCCGTATGCTGCAGAAGTTTAGACAAGGTACTCCATGGAGTTTGGGAGCTTACATTAGTGGGGGAAGCAGAAAAAAAGCATACATCTACACGCTTGAGTGGTGTAATCTTCATGAAATACCGGTAAATAGGGAGAGAAAGCCTAGTGGAGCCATAGATTAATGCTGCTATCAAATGGCCTGGGACAAAGAAGAGGATGGCTAATGAGGTGGAAAAGGCAGGCTGTTCACTGCGTTAAATGATACTGTAGCACCATCTCCTCACTGGCCTCTGCACTGCCATGTTCACACATTCTGATGACGCAAACAGCAATGCAGGACAAATTTTAGAAAATGTTGCTTAAGCGAGGCTGCAACATCATGTTTGATATCTTAATATAAGATGGCTCCATCAAAGTCAGATTTTGGGACACAAATACAGCTCTCTAATTTGAATCTTTGCCTCCCATATACCTACTATCCCTGTCTGCCGAATTTCTGAGAGGTCATTTACTTCTTTTATTACTTTCAAATATGATCTGCTCCCCTCCCTCTCTTTCTGCATCCTTTATCACTCGCCCCCTCTGCCTCAAAGCTCATTTCTCTTCTTGCGTTCCCTCTCCTTCTCTATTTTCTCTCTATTTTCTTCTCCTTTATACCCATGATATTATAAACAACACTTTCTCGCCTTTCTGTCTCTTTCCTGTGGTATCAGGCATACTTGTAACCCTGTATGACAGTCGCCTAGGTGACAGGAAGAATGAGATGAACTCTCTGGCTTAGATAAATTTCTTGGTCTGGCCTGCGGAGACTGTATCAATTTTTGATGTTCTACTGCCTCACAGACACTTTTGCAGGCATTGTTTCATGTTTTATTTAGGTCTGTGTTAGAGTGAGGTTAAAGTTTCAGCAGACTACCATGCTGAAAGAGGCTGGAGGAAATATCACTTTGGGAGCAATGCTGGCCTTTTATCGGGGGTCAGGGGAAGAGGGAGAGAGGAAATATGGGGAAAATTATGTCCTGGGTGCTATTCAGTCTTACCCATGGTCTCATAGCAAGCTGCAACCTCAAGTTTGGAGAAATAAAGCCAATGTATAAGTGTTAAAAACGGCAGATCCTTCAGTGTCCACCAGAGGTTGGCTCCAGGGAGTCATAGAAGCCACTTATACACTCATTAAAAAAAAATCACCTATACAGCAAGAATAAACATGTTCGCTACATTTTTATACCTGATGAATGAAAAAAAAAAAAAAAGTGCTTAGTTGACATTGCTTGTGTGAGGCCTTGCTGCTCCAGTTGCCTTCCTGTGCCTCTCCTAGATTTGTTTATTGAGGTTTCTCATTTAAACCTTTGCAAACTGCCACCTAAGAAACTGGCAATGTGTTAATTCCCTCCATTTGAAATTTGGCAGTAAAAAAGCTTTTTTTTTTCCAGTCCACACCATTTCAATTGTTTGCTTCATGTAGCCGACCTTGTCTCTCAGTACACAGGCAGTGGCCTGCACATCATAGAAGTAGCTGCCTATCAGTAGCTGCATTTACACGGGCACAAATAATCTGAATGAAGGCCCAATTGGAATAAAAAAGCATCATGTAAACATGTCGGTCAGAAAATTCTGATCCAATTCAGCTCAAATGGAAAGAAATTGTATTTTGATCTAGAGGGGTTGTTTATGCCGATCATCATTCTGAAACCCATCCCTGTAAACATTTATTATGATCGTGAATCTCTGTTGGGGCAAAACTGATCTGACTCGGTCTTCACTCTTTAGCCTTTGGCTATTTATTAAGGCCAGTACAGGAGTTCCCATTATTAACATTCAGGCATAAAACAGCCACAGTTGCTGCCTGCTCCTACGGTAACAGAACAAGGCATACATACTGTATAGTGTTATGATGTCACATCTGCACAGTGCAAACTTTGACAGTAAAATAAGAAAGTGACAACATTTAATGAGGGGAAAAATCCTGAATTGGATGAAGTGTGTGAGGTTTTGAGTTTATGCAGCAGTTGGGTTTCCTGTGTTCCTCTCCTCTGTGTGTTCTCCCTCTCTCTCTCTCTCTCTCTCTCTCTCTCTCTGCAGTGCTGGAGGCACGGCGGGAGGTGGGGCTGGCCCGGACTGATTGCATGCACCTGATTCTCGTTGTTGTCAGTTACCTGGCATTATATGCCTGCCCTAGTGGTGGGCAAAACAGTTCATTTCAGTGAACCGGATCATTCCGGGTTGTTCAGTAAAAAGACCCGTTAATTTCGGTCATTTCGGTCAATCAGTCATTAGTCAGTCCGCTCGTTCATGTTGTTCACGTTCGTTCAGCGTCAGCGTTGAACGAATGTGATGAGCGAACGGACTGACTGCACTTCAGAGTCAACAGCGCAACAACATGTGATCTTGAAATCTGAAGCATTACACCCCTCCGGATCCGACGTGTAGGATATTGACGAGGCTTGACGACTTCTTAAAACTCAGTTTTTTTTATGTAGCATTCAGCAGAGCCACACACATGCAGACCGGCACATGACTATATGATAGAGAGTTTAGCTTTGCGACCGTGCCGTTAAGTGCAACTGCTATGGGTGCCCGCGAGGCACATCCACTATAATATATCACAATGTAGCACAATATATCACATCCTTTTTTTTTTTTTTTTTTTTTTATGCTCGTTACCCACAAGTGATAAACAATAATAATAAACCAAACATTTTACATGCTGCAAATGCTGCCCCAGTGCAATCTAAATAAATAAATCAAATCACATGATCATTGTCCATTAATCATAGAATACTCAGTATCCATATCTTATAGGTGGTTTACTTTGTCTACCAGATCTGGTCTGATAAGCTGGTGGTTCAGAATGTTCAACAGCTGCCTTGAATGGGACACTAACAACTTCATTCTTAGGTGGTGGTGTTTCTAGTGAACGCGTTGGTGTTGCATGTCTGAAACTTGTACCATAGTCTTTTGCCCATGAGTTTGTATTCAGATCTATGTCCTGTTGTTCCTTAGTTTCAGGAAAGGTTTCCTCTCTGGTTTTCCTCAGATGTTTTCTGTTTCTCCTGTACTGTTTCCCCTCAGGTGTACGGATAACAAATGATCTTGGATGTTCATGTTTTTGTAAGACCACAGCGGGCTGCCAGGCCTCTCCTCTTTGCACGCGGACATTGTCTCCTGCTTGTAGATCAGGCAGGTTCTTGGTATGCCTGTCGAAGTAGAATTTTTGACACTCCTGTCTTTCTTTTAGCCTGCTGTGCACCTGGTCAGATCCCTGTGGAGTAAGCAGTGAGGTAGCAGTTGGTAGTTTTCCTCTCAGCCGCCTGCCCATTAACAGCTGAGCTGGTGATAGACCTACACCCTCCAGCGGTGTGTTGCGATACTCCAAGAGTGAAATATAGGGATCCCCATTGCTGTCCTCAGCTTTCTTCAGCAGTTTCTTAATAGATTGTATGGCCCTTTCTGCTTGACCATTCCCTTGGGCATGTCCTGGGCTAGATGTACTGTGTTTAAACTCCCAGTCATTTACAAAGTCTTTAAACTCAGCACTGACATAAGCTGGTCCATTGTCCGAAAGCAAATGATCACAAATGCCATGTCTTGAAAAGATGGATTTCAGCGCCACGATGACACTGCTGCTCGTGGTGTTTTTCAGCTTAACGATTTCAGGGAACTTGGAGAAATAATCCACACACAGCAGAAAGT